TACTCTTTTGCTTTCTTAACCTGTCAGGACTTTCCACACTCTGTGGACTTTGAGGACGAGCTTTAAAAAAAGGTTAAAATAGAAAGCAGCAGCAGTAACATTTCAATAGTATTGCAGAAGCAATTGGATGTTTTCTGGGGAAGGTGGCATGTTGTACACGTTAAGGACAGTATTGCAATTGCCACCATACATGATAGAAGCCCATTTCTAAGGTTCAAAGGGATACTCAAGTTTGTTGGGTGAGGCACAAGTTGTGGATATATTGGTCTACAGGCAAAAGGAATCAGAACTCTGGGTAGAGGTGATATATTTTATTAGACCAACTAGATAGTTGCAAAAAAAGTCTTTATTTGCAAGCTTTTGGCATGCTCACCCTTCTTCGGGCCCACTCACCCTGAAGAAGGGTAAGTGTGCCCAAAAGCTTGCAAATAAAGAACTTTTTTTGCAAATATCTAGTTGTTCTAATAAAAGATATCACCTCTACCCAGAGTTCGGATTCCTTTTAGGCAGGAGTGACTGGTGCTTCCTGAATCTGAGGGTCACAATTTGGGGGTGGGCCTGGGAGCAGGCCAAAAGCCCCATATCCACTCCTATACTTCTGTGCCATGGCTTAGTGCCCCCCCCCCCCCCAACACACTGGTGGCCCGTGCCACAAAAAAACTGCCCCATCCTGAGCAGTGCCAAGTCGGGGCCAATTGTGGTGGGGGGACACGCCCCCTGTATCCCTACTACCAGTCACCTGTGCTTTTGGGTGAGGTACAGCATTTAGGATTTGTTCTAGTTAACACACACATGCTCACATGTGTTTGCTGCCATTCCAAACTTTGACTGGAAATAGAGCAAAACCAGCCTGCCATAGCATTTCAGTTATTTTGGTTCTAGGTACAATGGAGGTCCATTGAAACAAAAAATAAAAGTGGGGAAGGGGCATTTAGCCAAATGAGAACTTTCATTTCAGTTTTGTTTCTAGAAAGGAGCAAAAAAATCGTAGGCCAGGGAATAAATTTTTTATTCTATTTTTCTCAGACTAATTCACTAGCCCCACATTATAGTGGGTGATATTCTTTCCTGTGCAGAGGGACAGTTTGGGGTATTGTGCTGACCTTATTCGTTAGACTGAACTGTACTCTAAGACATAGAAATGGGGTTTACTTCAATTTTTTTCTGAGTAGATAAAGGGCAAGTATCCCCCAGCAAACAGTCTCCCTTCTTTGACAACCAGTTGGTGCAGTGGTAAAGATGTATCAAGCAAAATTAGTGAGGACTTATGCTTCAGGCATTAAATTCATGCACAGAAAGTCCCTCTGTTGTTATGCATGGTCTGTTATGTATTTCACCCTCATGTCTCCATCTGCTGCTGCACACACTGATTTGAAAAAAGGACAAACATTGTGATGTTTGTACCTGCCAGGAGAAATACCTAAAATGAACACTGGGAAGGCAGCCCCCAGCTAAAATTCAGCACCATTAAAGTAAATAAGCTATGAGCATCCCTTTCTTAAATCATTATTGTGACAACATAGCCATCCCATTCCCTGGAGTGCAAAATAGTGAACAGTAGGGGCATCTTTACATGTGCTGGGGTGGAGGGGAGGGGGTGGGGAGGTGGCTTTAATTTGAGCTGCAAGAGAGAGCAACTTAAATTAAAGCTCCTGCAGCATCATGTATATTCAGCATCCTGCACTTCAAAATGGTGGCAGGGGCACTTTAATTAAAGCTCGTTCGGAGCTTTAGTTAAAGCACCTCTGCCACTATTCTGAAGCATGAGGTCACTGAATACACATGACACAGAGTCTGCTGGAGTGTGCTAATTAGCCTGCTCCAGCAGACTCGATTAATCGAGCCTGCTCTGATGCTGCAAATCCAGTGATCCAAATCTTAGGTACCTTGCAACTTATTACTGTTGTTGTTGATGATGATCATCATCATCCTGTACTAATAGAAATGTCTAGAAGCTTCAGGCAAAATCAAGGCCCTGTACACACAGATACACACATACAATGCAGTCACCCTCCTAAAGAGCTTGCAATCTGAATAAGTGAGACAGAGGAAGGGTGTATTATTATCTTCTGTTTTTGCACTGATAAATGCACTCAGAATGCCAAAGTCTCAATCCAGAGCTGTAATATCAATCTACCTCCTTAAAGAGCTATTTGGGAAGATACCATTCCATGAGAACTGCTAGGCATATCATGTATGCTGATTATGAGTTTATAGTAAACACAGCCAACAACTATTGTTCAGGCTGCACAATGGTTTCCTTGCTCAGCTTTCCTAGGCTTGCTATGTGCCCAAAGAGTAGTTTATTTTGTTTGTTTGTTTGGAGCAAAACTGTTTAGCCAGGCTTGGACTACAAGGAAAATGTGAATGAATTAGGGTTGCCAACTCTGACAAGCTATTTCTGGAGATTTTTTTTTCCAACGTGACGTAATGTGCTGTTAAACCTGTTCACAATATCAATCTCCCAGATTGCTTTCAATAGTCACTGGGAGATTGATGCTGATTCCAGTAGACTCCTGGCCAATCTGGGAGGGTTGGCAACCCTAGAATGAAGATACTTCCCCATTGCAAAACAATACACGTGAACTTCATTACAACAGCTTTGCAGCTGAACGTTTGAAATTTGGCAGGGAAATAGTTCATTAATAAAGATGCCTGTCTCCGAGAGTTCCAGTGAAAATTGATTTTGATGAGTAACAGTAGTGCTTGGGACCCCAGTCATGGCTATTGGCTAGGGCACTATACAAGGGAGAAGAAAAAGATGGTTCCAGCCCCAAAGAATTTTGCTGCCTCATTTAACCCTCCACCTTAAAAAAAAAAAAAGTAGCAACGATGTACATGGGTGTTGAACAAAGGACTCCATATTGTGTGATACAAAGGAATCAGAGAAGTAGCTGTATATTTTGCAAGGTTTCCAAGAAGCAGCTTTAAGTGTATTTAACCACAATAGGATGTAGGAACCTTCCTATGGGCCTCATGAGGTGTGATTCAAATGGGTTGTATACTAAAGAGATCTTAATGTGGGATGGAGTTGTCCACTGTTGTCCTGTCAAATAGGCTCATATCATGGATTTGACACACTACTGTCACATTTTCCGAGCAGCAGACCTTTAAAGACCTAAAACAGAGGAGCTTCTTTATGCTTTTTTAAGCTTTTCTCCTTAAACAATAAAATCTAGGACAAGACAACAAAAGTTTTACAGGGAAGAACAATTCTCATTTTATGGATAAGGAACTGAGGCCCAGAGAGTTTAAGTACCCTTGTCCAGGCCATCAAAGTGAGCCTGCAGGAGAGCCATGCATTACAACTAGATCTCCCAGTAGCCAGTTCAGATAACCATCTTTCCTCTAACCATTTCTCTCTGTTTCTTCACAATCAAGCTTCTTTTGTCACCACAGTCTTCAGTTTTGCTGCTCCTCTTTTTTCTGCAGTGGGCTTTCTGGAGAGCTTCACTGCATTGGCTTGCCCTTTTACCTAAATATCTGTTCTTCCTTGCCAGTGTCTCCCAGTTATTGATTTCCATAGCGCTCATCGTTTTTGCTTTCTAAGCACATTTTCTAACTATGTAAAATGCTCTGGGATTAGGGTGGCCATCATAGAGAACAGTCCAGTTGTCCTGTGTCCTCTATTGATATGAAACCAGACGCCTTTATGTCCTTTATTTTTCTCTTGAAGAGAAAAATAGAGGACATAAAGGCATCAGGGTTTCAGATCAATAGAGAACAGAATAGCAGAAAACCAGAATGTCCTCTATGATGGCCATCTATTTGGGATACAGTTTGTATGAAAGGCACTGTAGAAAATTAAGTTGCATTGTATTTTGTTTTGTTCTATATAAGTTAAACATAAGTGCTGTAACCAAACATTGCAATCCAGAAGGCATACATGGAGGAAATTCATACTGAATACCATTGCATGCCAAAAACATTGCTTGTGTTTGCTCACCATCTAGTGGCTCAAATTTGGAAAGCAAAGGATTTGTGGCTCCCACACAGGCCTGAAATATGTACAAAAACACTGCTGCAGAAAGCTGCCTGCATATCAGTTACCAAAGCAGTTTCTTAAGCATTTTTCTTTTCTTGCAGTTATAATGATGGGTGGGTGATCATTTGCAAACTGCTGACTTTTGCAAATTAGCAAGTGAAAATCAAAACATACCCCCAAAAAAGCCAGATCAGTTTTACAGAATGCCTTGTGCCCTTCTTGACAAATAAATTTATTTTCCATCATAGTAATGAAGACAATCTACCCATAGTAAATAAATTGCAGTAGTCACTTCTGTTGATAGCTCGTTTATTGAGAGTTGGGGAGAGTCCACTGGTTTGGTATGGAAATGACTGGTAGTGCTGACTCGTAGTATCCCACTGGAATCATGAAGAAACAGCAGATACCTGTTAGGCTCAGTTACAGTTCAGCTGAGATTGTGCCTCCCACCCGACATGCACACACTGCACAGGGTTCATTCAGGAGACAAAGACTACATACTCTAATCATGAGCAATACAAGTGTTTTTGAATCTAACAAAACTGCATCATATTTGACCATTCTATACCTTATTGAATTGATACACTTGATTAGATTTTTAAGAAATGAAGAAATGTGCATCCTGTGGGTCTGATTATAATCTGATATCTCAGTCCCCGATTTCTTAATATCCCTGATTTCATGAGTTGCTCCAGCTTTACCATGGTGTAAAAGAAACCAGAATCAGACTGTATGCTTTCAGCCTGGAGCACATAATTCAGAGACAAAAGTCCACCCAGCTCTAAACAATGTTGACTCCATTATTTTTGCTCTGTTGTCCTGCATAAATCGAAGTGATACTTTGATAATTGTTCTGGAAAGTTTGTAGCGGCAGAAAATTCAGGTACACCCTGTGGATTTTTCTGGTAAAGTGAAACATATTTGGTACGTGCTTGGTACATGTTTGAAAGTAAATGCCTGCCTGCTGAAACAAAAGACAGACTGAAAAGACCAGCAAATGTATCAAGACACCAGCTTGCAGTTTAATAAGCATTTTATTGATAAGAATATTTTCACTATAAATTTAGAACTGCAGAAGGGTGACTGGGGACAAATGGAAACAGCAGCAGTTAGGATACAGAGCATAAGAATAGAACATAGAACACAAAGTATCCATCCAGGAAGGGCACACACCAACTGCTGAAACTTCCTTAGCCTGACGAAGGGTTTTTGAACCCGAAAGCTTGCTTAATAACTATTCTCCAACTATTTGGGTTGGTCTAATAAAAGATATCAGATTCACCCACAGAACCTTGTCTGCCTAGAAATGTAAGACATTTATGATGTATGCTACCTTGATCTATACAATGTGTCTACCTCAGTATTATTCATATCATGCTATATATTCAAAGTGAGGAGGGGGAAGAGGACACTTGGCTTAAGAAATTCTATTGGGGAATTTTCTGTCTTGCTTCCTTGTTCAACTTTTTTAGCCAGCTGTATAAGCAAAGGCCCAAGATGCAAAGGAAAATCAAAATAGTTTTGCTACCCAGCTCAGCACTGGTTAGATAGAGTATGCTCCAAAACTACCAAAGGAAACATCATCTTAACAACCTCACTCTTTCTCTTCCCATAAGTATGCCAACCCCCAGCCCACTGACACATATGCCTCTACAATCAAGTCATCACCCTGACTTTCAGAGTGTTCTATTTAAATTAAAGCCTTTGGTCTAAAATTTGGAGAATAAATAGAAGTGGGGAGGGGGGTGGTTTGCCACCTTATAAAGTATGTTTACTCCAGTATGTTACTGAGGAAATAAGCTATGACCCACCTGTTTCCACTCTACATGCGTCAGCCTCAGAAATGAGGTGATGAGGACACCTTTGGGACATTGCCAACTGCTGGCCTTGAGGATGCTGGAAATCCAGTGCTGGGCTGCCATTAGGGTGTCATCATCCACAGCTGACAAACATACAGCAGTAGTGGGTGAGCAAAGTGTTTCCCTGGCAGCATGACTGAACTCTTCGCTGCAGTGTATATGTGGCCTGAATGCCCACTTTCTCTAAAACTCGGGCCTTTTTCTGATGCCTCAAACTAAGCATCCTAGAAGTCACACTTAAAAATGTGGGCACATGACCCTCGCAGATACTTTAGCTTAAGCTGAACCTACAATAGCCACTATAGAACCAATTCTCCCTTCCTTACATTAATAATTATCTTACTCTGCAAAATCATTGTCATTGTAGAATCCGTGTGGCTCTCAGTTTGATATTGAAAAGGTATCAGGCTGCAGGTCAGAAACACATGGGCTTGACTGCTTTGGTGAATAGAATAGGAATCAGGGTCTCAGTGGATGTTACCATTCAGAAGAAAGTGTATTTTTAGAACCAAATTTTAAGCTGGTTTGTGAAAGTATACTCACGTAACCCACCCCCAGCCACCCTTAGGCAGCATCATGAATTTTGCCTCTTCCTGATGTCATAATTTTTGCTTCCCTTTTGAGAACTGCAAGGGGAAAAAGCAAGTTTGCCCATGAGTGACATGACTTTATATGGCCTGAGCAGTACACCGAAGATGCTCAGGGTGGCTGGAGAGAAAACCGATTCTACTAACCCAGACACTGCACAGTAGCTCAATTAAGCCATTGCTTTAATCATGAGGAAATAGATGCAAGACAATACTATGGAGACATACTGCCTGGGCTTCTATATATTGCCTGTGATCAAGTTCAGGTGGTTGTCCACCAAAGCCTTCTGTATCTAAAGCAGAACATCTCCACTATATTGTCTGGGCTTTCTATCATGAACAGGAAGGTTGTGCTATCCTGGCTCCCAGCAAAGAACTAAACTCTTCATCATATGTTCCAATATAGTTTACCTTGCATGTTTAACTATAATCAGCTGACAGGATCTTGTTAAAAGCAGTTTATTGTATAAAGAACCAGTGGAAACTTTCCTCTTTAAAGATCTTCCTCCTCCCCCTTTAAGATATATTATCCTGCAAAGTCCTCTTCCAAATCAGAAATCAAACTGATCACTTTTAAAATGTAATTAAATATATGTATAAAAGTCTTAGCAAAAATGAAGTTCCTTTTCCTTATGCTATCACAACTGGGGATCTAGATATAATTATGCGCTTTCCACACAGTACAAGCTCCCCTGCTGCAGTCAATAGTGCTTGTAAAAATGTAGACCTTCTGCTAAATTACCAGCTTGATCTATTTTGTGCTTTATTTCCACTACCCATGGAATTTAACAAGATACACGAAACATTGGACTTATGTTTAGTTGTTGTTTTATGTAAATTACATAGAACAGCATAGGAGGTTACACACGGGGATTCCACACAGCTAATCAGATTGTGTGACTCAGAATACAGTTTGTTATTGCTATTCATAATACAATCACTTTTATAGAAACCTTAAGGTTGAAAAGATCAACAAGTGTTAATTAAGGGTCCTGATCTTGGGAACTGCTGTTTATCCTCATCCTCCACAAACATCAAGGATTGGGCTCTTTCAAGTGCACTTCAGTAAATTGGATTGGTGCATGGGCCATTTTGCCTTTTGGGAAATACATTCGTTCAAACAGAATTATTCCAATCTGGAAAGGCCAGCAAATGTGTACTGTTTTTGTGTACTGTGTGATATCTTGTAACACACAGTCTAGGATGAATGCATGCAACTCCCACTGATTTAACTAGAAACCACTGTATTCATCCAGGGGTGGGGGGGATCAAAAACCAGCTCTGATTTAAGGCCCACTGAAGTTAACTGAAAAAAAAAAAATCACATATCCACATATATGACTGCCAGAGTCTATCTATTTTCATTTTTTCTGACATACTCTGACTTCCAACCTTGAAGATTTTAATCTACTTCCATTTGAAAGCTTAAAGAGGAAAATCCTTGAAATATTCAGATAGAATCATTACAGGAAGCTCGAAGTGGAAGTATAAAAATAACTCATCTTTCTATAAAGAACAAAGCTTAGGCACCCTCATGTTCCATCCAGTAAGAGAGCACGTACATTTTCTTCCTTGGCCTTTCTCCACCCAGTCCCGTCAAGCTCAGTTTATATTATAAAGCAGGACTCTGGTCAGGTGTGAGTTTATGTCCTCTTTCAGTGTTTGCACTTAGACCATTGCAACACAGTCAGTAAGAATCTGTGCATGACTAACTAGTCAAGGGACGGAAGAGCACATCCAAGTGTTTCTGTAATGGGAGGTGTGAAAGAGACAGGGAACTGTGGTAAAGGTGACATAACACTCACTGTGGGAGGTAAGGGAAAGGTGTACATGTACAAAAAAAACTCAGACACACCAGGACTGCTCACGCACACAGGCAGGAACCCTCAGAGGTCAGTGCGGAAATGGATGAGGCAAAGTAGGCCTGCATCTCAGCTACAGCATGCTAGCCTATACCATCAAAAGAGTCATGTTGCAGCCTGCAGGCAAGGCTGCCTTTCTTGTTTCCGTCTCAGTCTTTCTGCCTGCTCTTCCTTCTTCTATTCCTTTTCCTGCCTCCTCCCAAGCAAACTCCTCCTAACCCTGTTACACACATGCAGGTTTGACATTTCTTCCAGCTAACAGAATAGTGACAGAAGCACTGAACACAGATATGGGACCTCCCATACAACAGCTCTTTCCCCATCAATGTTTGGGACTGAGTATGGGGAATTAATATCTTCTGCTTATCCTAGTCCCAGAACTCGTGACGCCAGAATCTCATTACAATAGCGCAGGCTGATTTCAACCCCTGCCTATCTCACCTTCATACAATTCTCTTAGTTCTAATGTCCCAGTCCCAGGTGCCTGGGGAAGAAGCTAAAGGGTGGACTGTAAAGTAGGTTTAGACCTTGAGCATACACTGCAATAGTCCTCACTATTTGAGAATACAGTAACATTCCTGGAAAGGAAAATACCCAACAAGTAGAAAAATCAATCTAATCCCAAGAGGATTTTATTGAACTGCATATCTATCTTAGAAATGTTTAATGAAGCCAGTGGTGAACACTCCTCACTTACTCTATTTCAGTAGAGTTTGCTGCTAGTGCACTGTGGAGTTGGCATTAGCAGCTGGACTGACTGAATTGTTCACAGCTTAAAAATAACTGCTTCTTCTGGAGTCTTTACATTAACAGTCTGTTCTATGAGTGGTGACAAATGGCAGCACTTATCACATTGGACTGATAGTAGTGCCGATCACTTCTCAGCGTACAGAACATACAAAGCCTCAGAGACAGGTTCTCTTAAAATCAGCAAGTGCCATCTTTAGCCATATGTCAACTAAATTATGCCTTTTAACTCTTGCCTCAGGACAGTTTAAGAGTCAATTAAGTACAATTAAGATGTTACTACTAAAGACAGAACTATTGCATTTCTCATTAAAAACCTTTACAGTAAACAAGAGTACTTTGCAAAATATATTATTGCACACAAAGAATAAATACAGGTTTTTGGAGCTACAAAGAGGAGGATCCCAAGAAATCTAGAAGACCCAGAACAATGACCCCAGGGCCATTCCAGTTGCTGCTCCAGCAAGCATGCCCAGAGCGAGGTCTCCATCATTGTCACGGTAGCGTTCTCTAATGATGACATGGTTTGCAGGGGGCTGGCCATAAGGTCCTAGGAAACAAAAAAGTTTGGTTAGGAAAACTGGAGCATGTATAGCTTGACAGAGAAGCATCAACATGTTCTTTAATTTAAAATGTAAAGACCATAAGTATATCTCATCTTGTTGGATGGTGGACAGCACCACTGCTTAGAGTCTACCCTGGAAAGTTCTCCATCCTGTTAGGAGAGACTGCACACAATACCCTTCTTCAGCATCTCATGAAAATGGAGCAGGAGAGTCCTGTGCAAGAGCACAGGAACGGGCATCCAGACATCTGCGGATTCTATGCCTCACTGTGCCATATGGCCGGTACCTTAGACAAGCAACTCTCACTTTGTTTGTCTGTTATGCAGTAATCAAAATGGGGATCTTGTATCATCATCAGCCTTGAGGAGATGCTGAGGCTTAATCCTTGTGTAGTTGTCAGGTACTTCGAGATCTCCAAATTACATATGGTCTAGGACAGCACAGCAGTACTATTATTGATAAGGCCAAGCCAAACACTTCTCTGCATTGGTTTAGGTCTCCAAATACTTAGCACCAAGTCTTGCAGCCTCTGCAACACTTCAAACCAGTAGAAGAAGAAATCTCACGGAAAACAAATCTAGATGTAGCTGGAAGAGATTATGGCAGTGGGTCTCACCCTTTTTTAGACTCAAGGCACCTCTCCAAAACTTTTAAAAAATTAGCAGTACCCCATTAAAAAAAACCCCTAAGATTATAATATAAATATTATAGATAGCATTAATTAATAGTTTATGCATTGATTAAATCAGGGGCAGGCAATTATTTTGGGGAGAGGACTGCTTACTGAGTTCTGCAAAGCTGTCAAGGGCCGCATGGGTAGCCCTGTCCCTTGACAGGTGCCCTGTACCCTGGTCGCCATCTTGTGACTGGAAGTCCTGCTCCCTAACCCCTGACCTTTGCCACCAGAAGTCCCTCCCCTTGTCCCCAGAAGTACTCCTTTCAGCAAGGGGTTTTGTCATCTCAGAACTTGAAAAATACCAAATTATATTCTAAAAACTGAACATCTACAACATTCATTAATTTGATTTCAAAAAATATTTTTGTCCTGGTTTACATGTGTTTGTGTAGTAGACATAGAGGTATGTAATAGCTTAAAATGAAGTCTTACTCTTGTATATTGTAGGGGGGATGGGTGTGTGGGGAAGGATGTGAGTGTGTGTGAGGGTTGGATAGGTGCGGGAGATGTGGGTGTGGATATGTAGGGTGTGGGTGGGCATGGGGTTTGTGGGGGATTATGTGGGGGACAGGTGGCTGGAGTGTGTGAGGGGGTGTGGGTGTGGGGGTCTGCCTGTATGGCTGTGCAAGGGAGGTATGGGTCCATATGCATGGTGGGGTGTGCATGTGGGACTCACCCTACAAACACACACATACCCTGGGGTACCAGCACAGAGCAGGGTGGGGCTGGGCTGTTCAGTCCTGCAGGCTACCCCGGGGTCCTACTGCCCCTGGCTCCTGTCATCTTTGACAGGCAGTCAGGAGCAAATAAATATTAATTTACGAAATATTTTAGGGGCCCCATGGGCTGGACAGAATGGCCTGGCAGGCCAAAACTGGCCTGCAGGCCATATTTTGCCACCCCTGGATTAAGTCATTATAATTATACTATTTTCACCCCTCCTGCTGCTGCTGCCGCCACAGCCAAGTGGAACTGTACTGCATGCCTCCTGCAGAGCCAGACTGTGGCAGGAACAAGCATTTTTGCTGCAGCCTGTCCTGATCCGACCCCGCAGGATGTGTCCTGGAAAAAGGTGCTCAGGGCAACTAGAACTGTCACGTCAGAGCCAAACTGAGAAGCAGCTACAAGATAAAGGCATACCTGATTAAGCAGGCAGGTGCACCACTTCTGCTGCAGCTTTTCCCAATTCAGCTCTGATGTGTGAAAACAGAAGCATGAGGGGAAGGTTCACCCCATGGTGGCAACAGCCTGGACATAAATGCCATAGAAGCACGCAGGGATATTTTACCTGGTGGCAGTTTCCAGAAGGCACATCAGAGGCAAACCAGGAAAAGCTGCTACAGAAGCAGTGCGCCTGCCTGCATGATGTAATTTGGGCAGCTGGACCTTTCTGCTGCAGTCACTTCTCAGTTTGACTCCAACATGGCTCCTGAGATGAGCCACGCAGAGCAATTTCACCCTGCAGTGGAGGCAGCATTGCAGCACCCCTGGCAGGTTCTTGCAGTGCCACAGTTGAGAACCACTGGCTTATGGTGGTAATTTAATTGAGTGTAAGTGTCACAATGCATTTCTCCATTTATAACGCTCCCTTTCCCCCAAGGTAAGGCACAAAGGTCTGCATCATAGGCCAGTATATGGGTAACTTCCATCTCCAGGATTGATCTGGTTTCATTGTAGCCACTGGATTTAGTGACAAACCTCTCACTGACTTCCAGGATGTAAAGATTGGTTGTTTAGAGACTGGGGCTTGATCCTGTAAGGTGGTAAATGTTTACCAGTCCCAATACCCAGAAAGGGACCTGAGGGCACTTTGCCCATTGTAAAAACAGGTCTTTGACTTAAATTTGCAAACACAAATTCAGTGAAAAATCTGGAGATTGGAGATGGATCAGCCAAATTAAGCCCTGGCCATGTGTCTGACCTTAAGAGTTTACCTGCATTTTTTAAAAACATATGTTGTACAAGGAAACATCTACCTCTGGGTAACAGCACCAACAATGCAGGAATCAAGCATGAACATGCAAGTTAGAACTAGTTGTTCATTTACACCAGACTTGCAATTAGGTCCATTTCTAAAAATGACCATGTCACACTTCTCTTATATGACAGACTAGAGAAACCCTTTAGGTCCCAAAGTCAGAAGAATTTTTTTAAACCTGTTCTTGCAGCTTCCAGCCGGCAGTCAGCTATTGAAAAGCAAAAATGATTCATCTGCTTCAGAACAAATGGGAAAGATGGATCAGTAAAGCTTCAAGAATTTTGTCTACTTTTGCTGGTCAGATGTCCCCCACCCATCCACTCCATCTTCCCCCATGTGAAAAGATGGAGTGGAAAAGACTGCCAGGATAGGGACCATGACAAGGAAGAGTGCTGGTTGCCAAAGCCAGACACAGAGTTTGGAAGCATTTAGTTAACAGATAAATTTAATTTAAGTGTATTAACAATTAGTTCAATATTGTAGCTTGGGGCGAGTTTGTTGTACAAATGCTTATTAAGGAACATGTCCCTCTGAGTCTATAAACCAGGGGCCAGTACCCTAAAGAAATTTAGACATACGCTGAAATTTGTGCACAAATACGCCCATTTAAGCACTTGCCTAAGTCTTTAGAAAACAGGGACTGTAAAATGTTAGACTGAATTTTTAGTGTTCTCACCCCTTAGGAAAAAACATTAAGTGACACTTTCAGCAGGGTTAATACATTTTATGGATGCAATAACATTTCATGCAAGGCAGCTATAATGTATAGGAACATTTCTCAGATGGCTGAAGATAGTTTGGTTCACAATGATCCCACACTGTCTAAAAAGAAATGAACTGTCAGCAGGCTTTTGTGATGGTTTCACAATCAGAACTCTTTTCTTAACTGTTTTAAAGGTCACGTTTAGTTTTTAAACATTAGTGTTTGAATTGCTAGGCTGGACAGTAGGGTGCAGAGAAAGAGACACAATAGGAAGCTAAAGATATGGTATTGTTACCCCAAAAGCTCTAGCAGTATTTAGAGTACTAAGTCCAATACTACAGATGCTTTACTGTTGCAAAGATCTTTCCTTTGAAAGAAGATTATTCATCTTCCAAATGTGCCCAAAATTTAAATAACAATAATGAGATCAGGTAAATAAGGTACATTTCAGACCAGTTGGCAGAGTAGGCTGGGGTAGGTTCTGACCTAATCCCAGTGAAGACCCTCTTACAGTTACTTTTGTTTATTCTGTTGTGTTTGAGTCTAAGCTGATTAATCTTGGGCTTTATTCATCTTGGCTACTCCTTGGTGTGTAAAACAGGAACCATTTAACCCATACTTTGTGCCTACTCTTTGACATGAAAGGTAAACCAACCTATCTATCGTCTGTCTCAGTAGTGGGCCTTGTCAAACATCATTTTATGCACCACCTCAGTTTGGCCTCCAGCATCAATTATTAAGTCTTCTGAAACAGCTGTAAAAAGTCACAGCAATACTGGCAATTAATTCAATATTAAGCCTATATATCTTTCCCTTGTTGTGAATATAAGAAACTCTTTAGTAACTCTAGTACTGCCCTAAAGTGTGAAACAAAGAAAAATGCTGGTCTTTGTTACCTGGGTATGGATACTGATAAGGAACAGCATACGCTTGTCCATTAGAGGCATAGTAGACTTGAGGACCAGGAGGAGGATATGTGCCATTGTACTGCTCATAACCATAAACCTAGCGAAATTAAAAGGATCTATTAGAAGCAGTTTCTTTATCAAGTATCTTCCAAGTTTTTAAGTGCTTTGATTAAGTCTTTCTAATTGCTAGTGCAATATCATTGAAATCCCCTGCATAGATGGCAGCACTGGGCTGTAAAATAAGCATGGATGAATTTGAAATATGCTCTTCAGTTTTGCAAGTCGGCATCTCCTGTTAACACCACCTCAGTTCCTCATAAAGATCATCTACCGCCCCCTACATCCCTGATAAATCTCTCCGCTTTGGAGGGATGAGGCAAACTGCTCACTTTGACGACTGTTCATAGCTGTTACTAGATCTTGTAAGACCAAGAAACTGGGGATTCAGAAAGGGGCATTTGGATAATATCCCATAGTACACAAATCAGCACATACCAAGGTTAGCAAATATACTAGCCCATACTTTGTCCTTTCTCCACCCCATTGCCCCACAGTAAAATACATAATTAATCAATAAACACGCATAAGGAAGTTATAATTAGTTATGTGTTGCAATGAAATCCTGGATACAAATAAGGTCCTTACTTTGTGGTGGTAATGACAACTTGCATTATTAAGACCCTAAGAATTTTTTAAAATAGGGAGGCAAGAGGGTTTGGCTGTTTGTTGTTTTAAATCCTGGCAATGCTTTTATCATGTGAAACCTTTTATGAGAGATGTTTGGTCTCCTTATGCTGGGGGGTGAATGTTCAAAATTAAAGACTGGCCATTTGAGGTGTTTCCATTTTTATTTGTCCAGTCAAAGATACCTTTAAAAAGACCCTGAGTTTTCAAAGCTGCTAAGCAACTGTTCTCCCAAAAAACACACTGGTCCCTATATAAAGTGTCTCAATTTGGGCACCCAAAAACCACTAGTATATAAAAACTTGCCCTCTTTTTTCCATTTCCCAAGAGTAAAATAAAATCAGAGTAACAGCTCTTCCAAGAAGTAGAGTGCAAACACCTGCCTGTGCATGGCATGACTGATCTGCACTAACATATTTTTTTCTTGTGCTTCCTTATTACACTCCTTACCTCAGGTGATGGTGTAGCATATGCTGTGTATGGAGGAGGAGGAGCTGAGGAAATGGCAGTCTCATCATACATCACTTCAGAACCAACGTAGCCCTAAACATCATTAATAGAAACAGACAGCCATTACTTCTGCCCATACAATGAGTGCTAGCTAGAGTGACATCAATGCCCAAATAATCCAGCAATAAACTAAAGTATCTCTAGAATTCCTGCATATACATATTTCCCAATGACACAGTATCAGCATCACTTGCTTAAAGAGTAATTTTATTACAGTAGTGTGCAATGCAAATAGTTTGTGGGGATATTTCAGTGGCTATAACTTTTCTGCCTCCAGAAGGAAAAAGAGTGCATCTTACAGTGTTGCAGTAGGATCCTGATTAGGGGAGGTCAGAAGGATGGGAGAGTGAGAGAGGGAAATGCAGATCAAGTCTAATCAACTCCTGGAATAAGCCATTTGCTTTTTTGACTCATTTTATTCCACTCATTTCATGCTTTCAATTTAAGGATCATTCTTTTCTTGTTCAGAACCAATTCATTCATTTGGAGGGGTGGCAGGAGGACAGCAACTATTCTCATACAAGTCCACTGATTCTGCTTTGTTCCCCCATACAAGTTCCACTGACTTCATTGGGCAACCAAGTGCAGATGGCTGCCTCCAAGAACTGCCAAGAAAAGCCTAGGGTTATACTTTTGGGTTCATACATTTATATTGGTGACTTTAAGCTTCTCAGCAAATCCACACTTTATGAAAAAGCAAGCCAAGGTCCTGAAAATAGCAGTTCAATGTTTTAAAAAGTTCTGAATTTCTTTCAGCTCTTTATGAAAAAGGGCATGCATAATTTATTATGTTACACCAGGAGCAATTTTAAAAGTATTCTGTTAATCCATACCCCTCAAAAGGCAGCGAGGGAGCGGGGGTGGTTAGTGAGTTACACAATATCTACCATGAATTCTCAACAGTTTAAATTTTTCAGAAGTCTTGGATTTTTGCCACTAATTGTGGAGATCCATAATACTGCTCTTATTTAAGCTACAGGTTTCCTATAAAGAAACAACTAATGTTATAGATGCATTGTTCCTTTGCATTCCTAATAATATTTCTCTGTTGAACTGTAGGTGAGATGCAGAAGTTCTTAATTAGATAAATTTTTGCTTTATGCCCTCAATCGTGTTTCTGTCTTTGTCAGAGATTGTAGGGATTGTTTTGTTTAGGTTTTTTTGTCCAGCACTTTCCTTTCATAATGCCCAGCTTCCAGAAAGCCCTTTTCAACAGTAGATCTCAGAGCACTTGAAGTGACTGGATTTCATACACCAAATGAAGGACATAGAGGCAACATTTTAAAGAAAGAATCTACAGTTCCTAAATCCCTAATTAGGCCTATTCTGTTAACACTGATGGAATAAACAACCCCAGTCAAAGACATTTATTTGATCTTGTCACTGTACATCACTAAACAGTTAAATAAAGTTCAGGGTTTCAGTTACATGAATCAGGCTGTGCTTTCTAACTGGCTGCTGAAAGCGAGCCGTATCCCACAAGTACCTGAGTGGACTTATACACCCACATTCCCAAAGAACCCACTGGATCTACTTGGTGCTCCAGTGTTTGCAGAACCACAGCCAAAATGAACCAGTTCCCAAAGCTGAGGAGCACCCAGCTATGCCACTGAAGTCAGTGGGGGCTACTGGATACTCAGTAGTTTTGAAAAACTAGGTCAGTTACTGAGATAACTGTAGGTGACCATGAGACTAATTTTAGGCTCTGATTTTTAAAATATGTTTTGTAAAGCTTTGACACTGAATCACCTCCAAAGACCCTACTTAAGGTACGGTGTATTAAGCTGATGGCTCCTAAAGCACCCATGACCAATACAAAATTCACATCTATCACCTCTCACTTATCTTCAGAACTAAAGTTCCTGGCTGCGTAGTAAACTCCCCATGCCTGATCTCCATTGTGCAATTACACTGGTTCACAAGTAAAATCCACCTCTGTCCCGCCTGTTTTTTATAGCAATTAATTTCTTTGCCTCCTGTTTATCTTCATACAGTATAACTTTGCTGTACTCTACAGTAATTATGTTGTACAAGAGAGTGCTGTTTCCATATGATAAATATTAGCTTCAGACATCCCCAAATATAAATAGTGCCATGTGATGATGTGTCAGCTCTTGTGGCAATTTGAGTGCAACTAATCAGACAGGAAATAAGCTGCTGGAAGTAAAGATCAAGATTTCCCAATGGACCTGAAACATTTCAGATTCAGTCTTCAAACACTGCTGTTTATTTACCCAAGAAAAGCTAACATCAAAAAGTGTTCTGGAAGGCAGAATGAAGGAAAGGCAAAAAGTAATCACAGAATCATAGTGAAGTAGGGCTGGAAGGGACCTCCAGAGGTCATCTAGTCCAAACCCCTGCCTGAGGCAGGATCATCCCTGTCCAAGCCATCCTATACAATCCATAATTTAGACCCTACAAAATACTACTGTCAACAATCATGTTTCTAGAAGAGCAAGTTAACTTACAAATTTCAAAGGCTCTTAACTGAAAAGCAGTTGTACAGACATTCTTGTACAGATGAGGCACTGGACCAGTCATTTTCAATTAGAGCTAAGTATTAGTTGCTACAAAAGGATTTCCAGTTCTCTTTCTCATGGAGCTCGTAGTGGTAATCTCTGGGTGTGTCTACATGGAATGTTTTACTGTGCAGCAGACTAACCTACTGCGTAGTAAAGCATCACTATGTAACCATGTGCATGAACTATGTGCAGTAGATTAGTCTACTGTGTGGTTTTTCTGCTACCTGTAAATACAGGTAGTAGATTTACCGTACATTAGCTACTGAGCATTAGCGAATGGTTAGATATTGAATCAACAGCAAATGGCTCCCAGTCAGCCCAGGCAGCAGTGGGCAGGAGAACAATCCCCTCTCCCAGGGACTGCCTGCAGCTGGAGCCAGCTCCTACCATGGAGCTTGGATAGGGACAATATCTTTTTGCTTCTGCAGCAGGCAGCTCCCAGCCCCAGCTCTGTGATCGGAGCAGGGGAACATTGTCCCAGTCTGGGTTCCACAGTTGGAGCCTGCCCAGCAACAGGCAGCTGCCAGGGGCAAGGAGCAATCTCCCAGTTCCCACTCCGCAATCATGGAGCCACGGCCAGGAGCTGCTTGCTTCCAGGGCAGTGGGACGTTGTCTCGGCCCAGCTCCATGATCAGTGAGGGTTACTCAGCAGGCAGCTGCCCGAGACAAGGTTGCATGGTGGGAGGCAGCTTCCCTGGAGGCAGGACATTTCCCCCCACCCCCAGAGCCCAGGCATGACACCAGTGCCCCCTGCCAGCCTGGGGCTGGCACCCAGGGGAGCCTAGAGCTCTCCTTGGCTAGCATATAATTACAGAGCAGGGCAAGAGTATCCCTGCCCTGAACTGCTCCCATCAGGAGCAAATTTGCTCCTGAAGAATGCATGTGTAGATGTGTGCTCAAAGAAAGCTTACTGCATATTATTTTACTGTGCAGTGAGCTTTCTGAGCATTAATTTCATGTGTAGATGCGCCTTCTAGATATGAAGATACAGCACTAGTTGGAAAAAGCTACCTCATGCCTGCAATGTGCTTTTATACATGTATTTATTTATTACACAATATGAACCATTTTTGCTCATGTCCTACAGTTAGCCCTATACAGCATGATTTCTGCAAAAATATACAAGGCAAAGGCAAATTTTGCATCTTCTACATAAGTTGCTCATTAAAGCTAGAGGCCTCCCTACACACGTGTACACACATGGCTTCCTTGTGGATTACCACCAATAGGCAGCAAAAGCTGAGAAAGTCAGAAAACATATCTTTACCAGTTACAAAAGATTTCATCATTGGCCACAGCTCCAATCCTCACTCTCCCATCTCTATGAGAGAAGCACATTCCTGACAACCTTTAACAATGCCACTTTGGACAGGCCTTGCAGCAGAAATGCTGTGTTGATCCAGTGGATTGCTCTTT